CCTTCTCCTCCATTCTCCTCTCTGGATCTTGGGCATGCATGCACACGCACCCGGCGTGAGTTTTAAGCCACCGGGTCTGGGACGCGAATTGCGGTTGACTATGTGGGAGTCCAGTGACATAGCCATTACACTAACTGCTGATCCCTTTTGGAGATGTTTTTGCTATAGGGTGTGTGTGCTGGCCAGAAAGAGACAGAAAGCGAGAAATCACCCCCCCAGGGGGAGTGGCCCCACTGCAATCCCTTTTTCACTCTCCTCTCAGGATCTTGGGCATGCATGCACACAAACCTGATGTGAATTTAAGCCACCAGGTCTGGGAGTCGAACCGTGGTCGACTACATGGGAGTCCAGTGATATAGCCATTACGCCAACTGCTGGTCCTCTCCTTTTCTTTTGTAAGTTTGTGCTGTAAGGCCCGGGCATTCTCTGGAGAGAGACAGGGTGGGAGGGTGAGTGAGAAATCAGCCCTGGTGGTGATAGTCATGTTGTATTCCCTTCTCTGTTGTTTCAGGACTCTGGAGACGCATGCGCACATGCACCTTTTCGAGCCACCGGGTCTCAGACTTGAATTTTACAATTGGCTATTTGGGATTTAGCCACCTTAACCACCATACCATCTGGCTGGCCCATAACTGACTGTTCTAAAATACATAATTCAGTGGCTTTTTTTTTTTTTTGAGAGATTTTCCCTATAGGGTGCGTGCGCTCGCCAGACAGAGAGAGACATAGAGACAGAAAGCGAGAAATCACCCCCCAGGGGGGATGGCCATGCCGCAATCGCTTCTCCTCCATTCTTCTCTCAGGATCTTGGGCACACACGCACACGAGCCCGGCTTGAGTTTTAAGCCACTGGTTCTGGGACGCGAACTGCGGTCGACTACGTGGGAGTCCAGCGACATAGCCATTCCGCTAACTGCTGGTTCCCTTCAGTGGCTTTAATATACTCACAGGGCTATACAATCATTACCACCACCTAATTCCAGAACATTTTCATCACCCCAAAAAGATGCTGTGTACCCATTAGCAGTCAGTCTCTAGCATCCCTTTCCCTAGGCCCTGACAGCCACTATTGTACTTGTGTGTGTGTGTGTGTGTTTTTAAAGGTTTTGCCATAGGGTACTTGCCGGAGATAGAGACACAGAGAGAGAAAGTGCAAGAATGAGAAAAACCTTCCCAGGGGATGGCCATTCTGTAATCAGGATTTTGGGCATGCATGTGTGCGCAGTGTGTGTTAACCACCATGCCACTGGCTGGCCCTTACACTTTCTGTCTCTGGATTTGCCTATTCTGGACACTTTTTTTAAAAAAAAATTTATTGGTTATTATTTTTTTAATTTGTCCAGAGAGAGAGAGAGAGAGAGAGAGAGAGAGAAAGTGAGAAAGCAAGTCACCAGGTCTGGGCCTTAAATGGTGGTTGGTCCTGGGGGGCTAGTGTCCATGCCTCAACATTTTATAGATGTCCATGTGGCCTTTTGCATCTGACTTCTTTCATTTAGCATAATGTTTTCAAGGTTCATCCATGTTGTAGCATGTATCAATATTTCATTCATTTATATGGCTGAAAAAAATTTCCATTATATGAGTAGAATAATATATTTAATTACTCATTCATCAGTTGATGGATATTTGGTTTGTTTCATATTTTGGCTATCATGAATAATGTTGTTATGAACATTCATGTATGCAGATTGTTTTCAGTTCCCTTGGAAATATACCTGGGAATGGAATTGTTGTGTCTAATATAAGGCCTCTGTTTAAATTTTTGAGAAATTTGGGCCAGCAGGTGGTGTGGTGGTTGGAACTCCTCTATAGCTGACCATAGTTCACGCCCAGACCTGATGGTTTAGAATTACGCTAGCCATGTGTGTGGGTATGCCCAAAACCCTGGGAGGAGAATGGAGAAGAGGTTGTGGTGTGACCATACCTATATTTTTGTTTTGAGGAACTGCCAAACTGTTTTCAGTCGGGCCTGTACCATTTTCCATGTCTAGCAACAATATACGAGGGTTTCAAAATGCTTTTCCACTTCTTGGTTAACCTATGTTATTAAGTCTTTTTAGTTATAGTCATGTAGTAGATATAAAGTAGTGTCTAATTGTAGTTCTTTTTTTTTTAAAAAAAAGAATTATTTTATTTAACTTTATTTATTTATTTGGTTATTTTAATTTCACCAGAGAGGGACAGAGTGAGAGAGAAAAAAAGAGAAAAAGTGAGAAAGCAAGCTGTCAGGTCCGTACTGGAACTGTGGTCGGTCATGTGGGAGTCTAGTGCCCTTAAGCACCATGTCACCTGCCGGCCTTCTAATTGTAGTTTTAATTTTCTTTTCCTTTATTGTTAATGATGATGATCCTTTTTTTAGGTTTTTGCCATAAGGCAAGTATGCTGACCAAGAGAGACAGAGAGGGAAAATGAGAAATCAACCTGTCCCCAGAGGGATTGGCCATTCCTCAGTCCTTTCTCCACTTTCCTTTTAGGGTTTTGAGCATGTACACATGCTTGCTTGGTATGTTTTTAAGTGCTGGATCTGGAACTCAAACCATAGTTGACCATGTGGGAGTTAAGCACCTTAGGCACCATGCCAGCTACTGGCCCCAGGAACATTTTTTTGTGTGTTTATCGGACATTTGTACATCATCTTTGTAAAGTGTTTATTCAGCATTTTGCCCTGTTTTTTGTTGTTTAATTTGCTGTAAGTGCTTCCCAGAGAGATATGGAGACAGAGTAGGGAAGTGAGAAGACACCCCTGTGGTGGATGGCGGTATTGTAATCCCTTTTGCTCCATTCTCTTCTTGTGATTTTGGGCATGCATGTATGCGTGCATGAACGTCCACCTGACGGGTTTTTGAAGCCACCAGGTCCAGACTTGAACACATTTGGCCGTGTGGGATCCAGCTGCCTTAACCACCATGCTGGCCTGCTGGCCTTGTTCCTTGCCCATTTTTCTTTTCTGTCTTTTAAAATTTATAAAATGTATAGGTACATGCAGTTACCAGAGAGAGAAGGTGAGAAAGTGTCCCTCAGGGAGATTGGCTGTACTGCATTCCCTTCTCCATTTTTCTCGGGTTTTGGGGCACACACCCACATATGTCAGACATATTTTTTTTTCAAGCCACTGGGTTTGGGACTTGAACTTTGCAGTTGACCATGTGGGATCTAGCCACCTTAACCACCATGTTACCTGGCTGGCCCTTTTTGTTCATTTTTAATTTGAGTCATTGGTCTTTTTATTGTGGAGATGGTTCTTGAGTATAAATGGTTCTTACTATATTCTGGATATTAGACTTTATCATATACATGATTTGGATTATTTTATTTTATTTTATTTTTTTTGGAGAGATTTTTGCTGTAGAGCGCATGTGCTCGCCACAAAGACAGAGACAGACAGGGAGA